TCTGAAAGCATATTGGACTATATACAAGGTATTTAAATCAGAAGAAGCTCATCAGAAGCTACAACTCAGATGCTCATAAGAAACTAAACGCACTTTAACAAACACTTTAATAAAGAGTAAAAATATAAACTAGACAAATTAATTTCTTGTTTGTCTTAATATTATTTCTAATGTTAAAATTCTAGAACTGTGCTGTGCATAAAAATATATGAGCCACATATGTAATTTTAAAATTTTAGTAGACACATTTTAAAGAGTAAAGAGGTCAAATTAATTTCAATATATTTTGTTTAACCCTATGTATCCAAAATATTATTTCAACATGTAATCAATATAAAATTATTAATGAGGTGCTTTATATTTTTTACACTATATCTTTGGAATTCAATGCATATTTTATAATTACAGCACATTTAGGTTTGGGTTAACCATAGCTCAAGTGTTGAATGACCACAAGTAGCTAGTGGCTACCGTATTAGACAGTGTACATCTAGAGAGTCTAAGAGGATATAAGTAAGATGCATGATGAAAGATATATGTTATCTTTTATATTTCACAATTTTTAAAACTTGGGTTTAAAAGCCAGGTTTAAAGGGAAATATCAAATGTCCAGGGCCATGTGTTAATATCTCTGACCTAAATAAACAACTGCAGAGGTCAGAAGTGGTGCCTGATGTACACTGATTATGTGCAAAGTGTCTTAGTACCCGTGGTGTGGTAGGAGTTCCTCAGTGTTAAAGCTGTGCCCCTATCTGGATAGATAGCTTCTCAGGGAGTGAGACCTCATAAGCCTAACCATCACTATGAGCCATATTTCTAAAGTACCTACAGATCCACATGGTTAGGTACGTGCAGAAACCTGCTGATTATTTGAAAGGTAATTAAGACATCGGGTAGCTGGCTGGGCACAGTGGGTCATGCCTATAATTCCGGCACATTGCAGGGCCAAGGCAGGTGTATCACTTGAGATCAGGAGTTCCGGACCAGCCTGGACAACATGGTGAAACACGTCTCTAATAAAAATACAGAAATTAGTCGAGCATGGTGGGGAGCACCTGTAATCCCAGCTACTCAGGGGACTGAGACAAGAGAATCGTTTGAACCCAGGAGGTGGAGGTTGCAGTGAGCCGAAGTAGTGCCACTGGGTGACAAAGCAAGACTCCATCTCAAAACAAAACAAAATAAAATAAACAAACAAAAAACAGGTAGATGAAAAGTTTTGAGGCTTGAAATGATCATTTTGCCTTTATCTGTATAAATATTTGCACTGGATGGGCAGGCAGGGTCTTCTCAGAACTATATACCTCCCAAGTGAAGGTTCTTTATTTTTTGCCCCAAATAAACTACAGATCAGCAGCTTCATGTGACCTTTATAACAAGTCCGTGCTCCCTCGTCTAGACCTGTTTCTTTCCCATCATTCTTTCTGGAATTCAATCTCTGAAGGACTGTTTGTAAAATATGGAGGTAGTTCTGGAAATTGACAACACTGGGATTAGGGGGCTGTGCTGGAAACAATCTGAAAGAGAGGGGCAAAGTGGGAAAAACTCACGGCACTTTGCTACTATAGAGGGGTCAAAATGTGGGCTACAAATCAAATTTGTCCTTGGCTGGATCCACAATTAAAAGATACCTGAGCCCAAGGGCTTTAGAGCATCTGTCTGCCATTTGAGCCCAAAACAAGCTGCCTGGATATGGAGACTGGTCCTCCAATTAGCTACAATTGAGCTCGGGATGAGAGCTGTGCTATCCTTTTTCCTCTCCTCAATTTTGTTATTCTAGCAGCTGTCATCACCATTCACTTCTACTCACAGACTGTACATAGCAAAGGAGCTCCATTCAAGTTTTGTATCCAGATTAACTTTGCAGCCCAGCTAATGTGAATTTATGGGAACCAATGGTAAATAAAAATGTTAGCTGCACTCCCACTCATCATGGGCTGTTAGTAGATATTTACATTTAGAAGTTTAACACATCCTGGCTTTAATCCAATATTCTCTAACATTCTCTAAACAGCCTCAGTTTTCTAAACCCTATGGTTAGCATGTATAAAGAGAGAACTAAAGCGGGGAAACATTAGGAAGCAGCTATAAATATAAACCACCTTTCAAGACTTACACAGAGATTTTGTTAGTAAATTTAGAGAGCTGTGTATGCTAAAGCCTAATTTTTACCCATACACTTAGAAACTAACAGAAGCACGCAGGGAAATCATCTGTTTTGTTAACTCCCTCCCATCCCCACTCTTTCTGACTTTTGAATTAGGAAGAAAAGGAAACCAACCAAGAATCAAATCCAGTTACAACTGCATTCGTTTTTGGAATTAACCGTTAGTAAAACATACAGAAAGAAGGAACAAAAAGTAACCACCCCTGGCCCTATCAGTATTTTAGCTTTTTTTCTAAATGAGCTTAAGTCATTCAGTAACAGCAGCTTAGTGGTCAATATTTGCATTATACAAAATATTTCCTCTTCAAGATCATTTTGGCTATTCAAGGGCCTCTGTTCTATATATATTTTATTATCAATGTATTAATTTTTACCAAAAAAAAAATTCTCTTGGAACTCTGGGCTTTTACTGACTCTGTGCATCTGTGTGGGGAGTACCTGCAGCTGAGCACTTTCAGACTCACGACCCATGATCATGTGTGTCTCTCTATTTATTTAGATCTTCTTTAATTTCTTTCAGCCATGGTTTGTAGTTTTCTTGGTAGAGTCCCTGTATGCTTTTTGTTAAATATATTCCTAAGTATTTTGTGATTTTTGAGGTTGTGGTAAATGGAATTTTTTTGAAGTTTCACTATCCAACTGTTTGCCTGAGAAAAAGAAATCAATATTCTAAACCCTTGTACAAACCTTTTGCTGGGCACCCTTTCTGCCATGACATTTTTGCCCTCCTAATTAGCATGAGGGCCACTTTCTGCCTATCTCTGTGGCCCAATTTCTCTATTTCATCTGTAGCTAAATCCCTCCTAGGCACAAAATTTTGCTGATCCAATCTCCTTCTCTCAGTCCTCTGCCATCTGCTTGGGTCTTTGTTGTGTTTTTCTTTTTTCTGGTGAGAGGACATGCACAGGGATCCTCGGGTCAGATGAGAAAGACTCAAAAAGCACTGCTGTAAGGAAGCAGAGTTCATCTAAACATATTCCGCTGCCTTTAATGGATGCATGCTAGAAATATCTGGTCAAATTAGAAATGGCCTCATTAGTGGTGCATTTTGTGAAAATAGCCCATTTCCCATCGCATGTGTGCGCTTAAATATCCCTTTGTTGCCTCTCTTCTCTTTGGAAATGATAATGAGATCATGCATTTGGGCAGGAGTCACTTGCCAGGTAGAATAGAGCAAAATACAAAAGATAAAATAGGATTCTCAGAGTCTCAAGTTTACCTTTCTACGGCTAAAGTAATATTTGTTCATTTTCTTCCTGGCCAATAATTTTTCTCCTGGGTCCAAATAAGAGTCAACTGAGAAGCAAGGCCAAAGCTCCTAGTTAATAGTATTGTCATTTTACATGCACTTGTTCATAGACTTCCACTTTGCTCACTGAGCATTGGTGAAGGAAGAACTCATATTCCTGCTTCCCACTCTGATTATATGCACTCTCACACGTGCCAACACACTCTCACACTGGAAGAGTCACACATACACACACACATTCACACTTACGTTTGAAGTTCCACTATCCAAATGTTTGCCTGAGAAAAAGAAATCAATACTCTGAAGGTTTTTACAAACCTTTTGCTGGGCACCCTTCCGGCCATGACCTTCTTGCCCTCCTAATTAACATGTTTTACACACTCATATACTCACACATACTTGCACATGTTCACTCACACACTCATGTATTTCACATTCCCACACTCCAATATACTCATACACATGCACCTTTACACACACACATACTGACACACGCTCACACTTATGCATATGCACACACACAATGCACTCCACACTCACACATACATATACACTCATGTACTTTCACACACTCTCACAGTCATGCTTACACACCTACACATGCACACATACACTCTGTCACTAACAACCCATGGTGAATGGGACTGCAGCTACCATTTATATTTACCATTGGTTTCCATAAATTCATATTAGAGAAGGAGGGAGAAAGAGGCAGAGATATGAAGTATCTCACACTCACATATTGACGGACACATTCTGACACTCACACTCATGTCTATATACAGTCTCACACAGGACAGGAACAAGCAGCTTTCTCAGCTCCTGATACTCCCAGTTATCACCAAGGTCAAAGGTCAAAGCTATCCAAGAAACTACTCTGGTTGGGGCAGCGGCTTTAAGTTTTGAATCCTTTAGGAACACCCCACTTTACTATCTCAGTACTCAAAGCCCTCTGCCTTGACAACTAGTTTTCATTCAATATCACAGAGAATCCTCTTTTGGGAACTGGTTCAATTCCCAACTTTTGTATGGCATTTGTGGATAATTCTTACTTCTACCATTAGAAGTAAGAATGGTAGAAGCAGACCTAGAGAGGTGAAATTATCTCATAATGAACTAGAGAGGTGAAGTTATCCCATAATGAGGATAGCCAGCATTTATGTAGCACTCACAATGTGCACTCCCCTATATGCTTTTTATAAAACCTGTTTAATCCTCACAGCAACACTATAAAGTAGCACCATTAAAATCTGTATTTTGCCAAGTGCAGTGGCTCATAGCTGTAACTCCAACATTTTGGGAGATCAAGGCAGGCAGATCACATGAGCCCTGGAGTTCAAGATCAGGCTGGCCAACAAGGTGAAACTCTATCTCTATTAAAAATACAAAAATTAACCAAGTGTGGTGGCACGTGCCTATAGTACCAGCTACTTGGGAGGTTGAGTTATGAGAATCACTTGAATCCAGGAGGCAGAGGTTGCAGTGAGGTGAAATCTTGCCACTGCACTCCAACTGGGAGCCAGAGTGAGAAACTATCTCAAAAAAAACTTCTTGTTTTGTTATACATAAGATTGGGTCACAGAGAAATTAAGTAACTTACCCAGTGCCCCACAGCTGACACATGGTACAACAGGGATTCAAATCCAAGTAATCTGGTTCCAGAGTGTTCATTCCTAAACACTATTATGACATTGACTCTCTCTGTGAATAAAAAAGATAGTGCAAAGTTCATCTAAATAACTTTCTCTCTTATAATCCTCACACTTGACAATTTATATTCATAAGCAATATTATCACAGATATTTGGCACCAGATGTAGAACCACTAGAAATATTTTGACCATGAGGAGTTTGATTGAGGATTGCCTTCAGACCTCTCTGTACATGCCCAGAGTCTAAATAGAAAAAGAAAAAGGGTAGTGAGAAGAAGGGAGAAAGACAGAGGCAGAAACATAGAGTAATAGCCTAGAGACAGAAAGAACTGGGAGAAGCAGACCAGTCAGAGTCCAGAGAGGACAGAGAATAATCAAGGAAATGCCCAAAGGGGAATTTGATGAAAACATGGAAAAAAAAAGGAAAGCTGGTATATACACAAGCACATCTAACAGGGAGAGTATATTTGTCCATTGTCATGCTGCTGTGAAGAAATGGCCTAGACTGGGTAATTCAGAAAGGAAAGAGGTTAAGTTGACTCCCAGTTCCACAAGGCTGGGGAGGCCTCAGGAAACTTACAATCATGACAGAAGGGGAAGCAAACACATCCTTCTTCACATGGTGGCAGGAGAGAGAAATACAGCACAAAGACAGGAAAACCTCTTATAAAACCATCAGATATTGTGAGAACTCATTCACTATCACAGGAACAGCATGAGGGAACTTCCCCCAAAATCTAGTTACCTCCCACAAGGTCCCTCCCACAACATGTGGAGATTATGGGAACCACAAGAAGAGATGTGGGTGGAGGCACAGCCAAACCATATCAGAGCTTTCAGAATGTGAGGCTGGACCAGGCACAGTGACTAACACCTGTGATCCCAGTGCACTTTGGGAGGCTAAAGCAAGAGGATGGCTTGAGCCCAGGAGTTTAGGATCAGCTTGGGCAACATAAAAAGACCCCGTCTTTACACAAAACAATAATTACAAAATTAGTCAGGCATGGTGCATACCACTGGGGTCCCAGCTACTCAGGAAGCTGAAGTGGGAGGACTGCTTGAGCCCAGGAGGTCAAGGCTACAGTGAGCCAGGATTGCACCACTGCACTCTAGCCTGGGTAACAAAGCAAGATGGTGCTTCAAAATAAAATTAACAATTTTTTAAATAAAAAGAATGCTCTATTTGAACCTGAGGTTAAAGAAAGAACAATGAAGGAAATGTACATGTGAAAGGGAACCAAAACGATAATGGATTTGGGAACAATTATAGACATACTAATTATTAGAAGACTGTGTTAAGTAAGGGACTGGTACCTCCTATGCTGAAAATAAACCTCTTGGAAATACGTCACCTACCTACCTGCATTCATTCAGTTCTTACCTGGCAAATGCCCACTCACATAGTAGCTAGCTCTGCACTGAAGCCATCAATCAAATGGCATCACATCTGCATCCCCAAGGGGAAAAGGCTGCCTTTGCAGGCCTCGGGCTGAGGAGCACACTCTTGAGGCCTCTAGTGCAGCAAACAACAGATATCTATTTCTTGGGGTAAGTATGTAGGCTCATGAATGTTAAGATAATACATACAGGTTTATAGAATGACAAAAATAACTCTACGTCCTTTGGGAAAATGTGTAGACATATTATATAGAAAGCAAAGTCTGGCATGAAATGAACAACAATGTAGTTCTGAAAACTGGATCAGGCTACCATAATTTTCTTTTCTTATATTCTACTTTTCTAGTTTTCCAAATATTCCACAGTGAGCATATATTAATTTTTCTCTTATTTTGATTTTGTAACTATTTATTTTATTATGGATAATGGCAAGGTACATGTAGGGAAAAAGAAAAATTGAAATTATCAAGAGATTATTATTAAGATTGTGGTGTATATTTCTCTATATAATTTTTTTAAAGGAAAGGGTCTTGCTCTGTCAACCAGCCCCTCACCCCTTTCTGAGTAGCTGGGACCACAGGCACATGCCACCATGTCCAACTGAATTTTGTATTTTTTGTAGAGAAGGGGTTTTACTATGTTCAAACTCCTCAGCTGGTCTCAAACTCCTCAGCTCAAGCGATCCATCTGCCTTGGCCTTCCCAAGTACTGGGATTACAGGTGTGAGCCACCATGTCTGACCTACAAATATGTCATTCCCTCATTTTTAAAAATATATTGTAAAATTCCCTTTTTATTGATATCAGTTCTATGAGTTTTGACAGTCACTCACATTACTACTACTACAATCAAGATACAAAAAGTTCCATTATCAAAAAAAATTTCCTCCTGCTACCCCTTTGTAATTAACACTTCCTTGCATGTCCAACCCCTCTCAATCACTGCTCTGTTTTGTGTTCCTATAATTTTGCCTTTCAAGGATGTCATATAAATGAAATCACATAGTTTGTAGCCCTTTGAGTCTGGCTTCTTTCACTTAGCATCATGCATTTGAAATATATCTGCTGGTGCATGTATTGTTAGTTTTATTGCTGAATAGCAATCTCAGGCTGTACCACAGTTTATTTACTAATTAAAGAAAATTTGGATTATTTCCAGGTTTGGGTAATTAATAATCAGGCAACTATGAACATTTACATACAGAATAAGATATTTTCATTTTTCTTGGGTAAATATCCAGGAGGGAGATTGCTAGGTCATATAGTAAGTATATTTTCACTTTGTTTTAAAAAACTATTAAACGATTTCTAAATGGGCTGCAGAAATTTGCATTCCCATTAGCAGTGTAAGAGTTTCCGTTGCTCCATATCCTTGCCAGCACTTGGTGTTCTCAGCTGTCAAAGTTGCTGTTTTTGTTTTAGCCATTCCAATACATATGTAGTGGTACCTCATTGTCCTTTCATATGCATTTCCGTAGTGACAAATAATTTAACCACATTTTATGTGCTTATTTTCACCTGAATTTCTTGTTTAATGAAGTTTCTGCTGAAATCCTTTGCCTATCTTCTTTTTTTTTTTTTTTTTTTTTTTCTTTTTTGAGACAGAGTCTCTCTCTGTTGCCAGGCTGCAGTGCAGTGGCACAATTTCAGCTCACTGCAACCTCCACCTCCCAGGATCAAGTGATACTTCTGCCTCAGCCTCCCAGGTAGCTGGGACTATAGGCACACGCCACCATGACCAGCTAATTTTTCTATTTTTAGTAGAGACAGGATTTCACCATGTTGGCCAGGATGGTCTTGATTTCTTGACCTTATGATCTGCCCGCCTCAGCTTCCCAAAGTGCTGGGATTATAGGCATGAGGCACCACGCCCTACCACCTATTTTTTTATTGAATTGTTTGTACTTATAATTGACTTGTGAATGTTATTTATATAAGCTAGATACAAGCATTTTGTCAGATATGTGCTTAATATATTTTCCATGTATGGCCTGTCTTTTTATCCTCAAAACAATTTCAAAGATCAGAAATGTTGAATTAAGTTCACTTTACCAACACTTTTCTCTTGTGGATTCTGGTGTTGTATCTAAGAACTATTTGCCTAATCCAATATCACAAAAATTTTTTTCGGTGTTTCTTCCAGAAGTTTTATAGTTTTCAGTTTCACATTTAGATCTACAGTTCATTTGAGCTACATTTCTATGCAAGGTGTGAGGTATGGGTTGAGGTTCACAGTTTTGCATATGGATATCTAATTGTTTCAGCGTCTTTTGTTGAAAAGATCATCCTTTCTCCATTGAGTGAACTTTACATCAGTGTCAAAAATCAACTGGCTTCTTTTTTAACAAATGACGTTAGAACAATTTGATATCCACAGGAAAAGAAATTGAACATTACTCTCATACCTTATAAGAATTAACTCAAAATGAATTATAAACTCAAATGTAAAACTTAAGACTATAAAATTTTAGGGGAAAACATAAGTAAAACTCTTTGGGAACCTAAAACTAGGTAAAGAGTTGTCAGACTTGATAGCAAAAGAAAAAAAAATTTATAAACTGGACTTCATCAAAATTAAAAACTTTCGTTATATAAAAGACTCTTTCAAGAGGATGAAAAGGAAATCTACAGGTTGAGAGTAAATATTAGCAAACCATGTATTCTGCAAGGACTAGTACCGAAAATCTTTTTTTTTTTTACTTTCAAAACTCAATAGTAAGAAAAAAAATCAATTAGAAAATAAGAAAAAGACGTGAAGAGATTTCACCAAAGAGAATATGCAGATGGTAAATAAGCATGTGAAGACAGTCAACATTATTATCCATTTGGAACATGTAAATTAAAACCACACACTACACACCTATCAAAATGGCTAAATTAAGAAATAGTGACAACATTAAATGCTGGTGAGAACATAGAGAAACTGGATCCCTCACACATTGCTAATGGGAATGTAAAATAGTACTGGAAAACAGTTTGGCATTTTCCTTTTTTTTTTCATGGCCAAAAAAATGTATATCTAGAATTATCCAACTAGATTCAGTGAAATGATCCCAATTTTGTTGGTAATATGCAAAGAATCATAGTCAGTAGCCAATCAGGCATACGCCTTCTCTCCATCAGGCCTGATAGAGGTGTGGACCTCGGCCACATTAAGGTCATAGAGCTTCTTCACAGCCTGCTTGATCCGGTGCTGATGAACCTTGACATTCACAATGAACACAAGTATGTTGCCATCTTCTATCTTCTTCATAGACAACTTAGTAGTCAGGGGAACTTGATGATGGCAGAGTGGTTAAGCTCCTCAGAGCACTCTTCCCTGGAAACCTGGGCTCTCCTGGGAGCCACAGCATCTCAGGTAGCTGGAAAGTGAGTGACATGTAGGGTGTGTGTGTGTGTGTGTGTGTGTGTGTGTGTGTGTGTGTGTGTAGCTGTAGATCCCTCAGCCTTGCCACCTTGGCCTTCACAGCCTTTGCTTTCATTTTGGCTTTGAGAGAGGAAGAGGCTCCCTCCTTTGCCCTCACCATTATCTTGGTGAAAGGCCAGTTTGGCAGTTTCTTTTTTTACAAAAAAGGCAATTGTCATAACTCGGCAATCACATTTGGGGGCAATTTATCCCAGAGAAATAGAAATTTATGTCTACATAAAAACCTGAATTACCTTAAGGAATGTTATTTAACAGTTTTTGCTCACTTAACTGATTATATTTCCAATGCATACACAAATTAAATCTTGATACAATATCCCCAATGGATCCTCCAAAGTTCTATCTGCTTTCATGGGCCAGAATGAGGGAAAGTCCTCCTGGCCATTCTCTTTTGCAGAGAAGTTCATTCTCTTTTCTATATGAGAACCACCTCTGAACTGCAAGGTGCAACTCAGATATCTGTCTGTGTATAGACATGACTTTCAAAGTCTAGATAGGATTGGCTTGAACATATCATTCACATTTTGTGGAAAATCCTTTGTTTCTCTTTCCCCCTGTCTTAATCTGTTTGTGCTGTAAACAGAACAAAATACCAGAATCTGGATAATTTATAAACAACAGGAGTTTATTCCTCATAATTTCAGAGGCTGGGAAGTCCAAGATCAAGGTGCCAGCAGACTTGGTATCTAGGGGAAGATTCATTCCTTATAGATGGTACCATCTAGGTGTCCCTACTTGGCGAAAAGGAAGGAGGGAAAATAGATACCTCTCTGGTCCCCTCCAGACCCTTTATAAGATCAGGGAAAATAGGTACCTCTCTGGTCCCCTCCAGACCCTTTATAAGATCACTAGTCCCACTCATGGAGGTTCTACTCCTATGACTTAATTTTTTCCTAAAGGCGCCACCTCTTGATACTGCTGTATTAAGGATTAAATTTCAACATGAATTTTGGAGGGGACACAAACACTCAAACCACAGCGCCCCCCCACCTACAGATTTCTACAACTTTCAGATTATTGCAGAAAGTGGTTTCATCTATGAATCACTTAGCTAGCTTATGTGTGCTGTCTCTCTTCTGTAACACATCAACCTAGGATTTCCAACAAAAGAATAATAACTTGAGACAACAACAAAACTCACTCACACAAAGTATGTGTATAAGCAGGTTGTACTCAAGTTTTGGTGGAATAAAGACGATTTAAGTTGTAGATTTGCAAACGACATAAGATTAAAAGTTAGCCACCCCTGCTCCAAAAAGTCCTCTTGTCCACCAGCATTTTTCATAGCCAGACCACCCAACACAGCGCACCAGAGAAATAAGCACAAAGATCAGAAATTTTGAATAAAGTTCACATTGTCAAAATTTTCTCTTGGCCAGGCGCAGTGGCTCACGCCTATAATCCCAGCGCTTTAGGAGGCCGAGGCAGGTGGGTCACGAGGGCAAGAGATTGAGACCATCCTGGTCAACAAGGTGAAACCCCGTCTCTACTAAAAATATAAAAATTAGCTGGGCATGGTGGTACGCACCTGTAGTCCAAGCTACTCGGGAGGCTGAGGCAGGAGAATCACTTGAAACCAGGAGGCGGAGGTTGCGGTGAGCCAAGATCGTGCCATTGCACTCCAGCCTGGGTAAGAAGAGCGAAACTCCATCTCAAAACAAAACAAAACAAAAATATTTTTTCTCTTATAGATTTTGATGTTGTATCTAATAACTATTTACCTAATCTAATATCACAAAACCTTTCCTTCACCCACCTCTTATCCTTTTCCATTGTTCTACATCTGTCCTCCATCATTTTCCCAATTATGCTAATTAAAATGACCTAAGTGATAGGATAGAACTAGCTTCATTGTCTTATTTTTATGTACTAAATCTTCTTGTTCTAATTATGAACCCTCCTTCAGAACAGAATTTGAGATGCCAGTTACAGTACCTCAACCCCTTAGTTAACGGGAAGACACTACCTGTGTGATTCTTTGCAACAATGTTTTGGTTCTATCAAGTGACATAAATTTTATCCTTATTTATATTTTTGTTGAATCCCACTGTCACAGTTTTCCAAATAGCAATACAGGATTGAGAAAGTACACTACAGTCTTGAGGTGCTAACAGCAAAAAGAAATCTGAGGGGTTTTTTTTTTAATTGCAATCAATTTTTGTATTTTTGTAAGTTAAAAAGAGGTTGCTTTTATGTTCTGGTTTTTTCCACTCTCTCCTGTCTTTTCTGATTAATATAAGGTAAAGTTTGAAAAAAACTTCTTACAATGCTAAGGAAGAAGTAGAATTTGACTGATGGAAAGAGGAAGGAAGGGATGTGGGAAAGGAGGAGTGAGAGAGAGAATGAATGAACGAATTACAATGAAAGCCTGTAAGACAGGCTTATCATCAGACTTAATATTTGTACGGAAATTATTCTTTTTCAACAGTAACACATTTAAAGGGTCATTTTCTTCAAATTTCTGAGGGCTGTTCAAACCAAGGATTCAAGTGATTAAACTCATAACTACTATCACTTACAACAACCAAAATGTCATGGCAACTAACGATTCTCCAGCTGAAAGTCAGAGCTCAGGGGTAAAAAATTATTTCCAATTAAATAATACTCATTCTTCTTCTAAAACCTTAGTCTCGCCTTCCTTGAAGTTAAATTTTTTGAGGCTTTGTTTAAAAGCTTTCCTGTCATTTCCAGTTCCCAGAACAAACAAACAAAATGCTTATCTAATAATCAGAAGGCTTAATGAAGTTGAAGACAATATAAAAATTTCTTGCACTTGTTTTTTAGTTTTTTTTCCCCAAAATGTTGGGATTAAATAGGTCCAGCTACCCTCCTGCAAGTTACTGTAACCATTATAACAAACAAAAAATATTAAGGAAGTCCTTATCCCCTGAGTTGGATTAAATTGCATGCCTGATTTTTATTTCTCTCCAATTGGCCAGAAACAAAATTGTTTGACCTAACACTCGTGTAAAATCTGTTTACCAAGCTCATCCACAATTAAATAAATACAAATAAAAACAACAGACACTTTTGCCATCCAACAGATTAGATATATGAGAAAGTTTGGCAATACTTAGCAATAGTGTCAGGATGTGAACACTCAAATAAACTGTTCATGAGAACACAAAATAGTAGAGCCAATTGGGAGTATAATTTCAGGATCTACAAAATTAAAAGGACACATACCTAGCAATGTCGCTTTTAGAAATCTGACCTAGATATACAATAGAAATACATAAACACGTATTATAAAAATATTCTTTGCATAACTTTTTTAAATAGTAGAAAAAAAGCAATGTGTCCATTAATAAAAGAATGAATAAATAAGTTATAATAAATCTATGCATGAAATACTATGCAACTATTAAAAGACAGACAGAAATCTACATTAACTGCCTTAGAACTGCCTTAAGTCTGTCTATGACTCAGTCAAATTAAAATTCCCAGTATAAAGGGATTGCAACTTTTTTGTACAACGAACCAGAGAAAACTTGCTCATGGTTACACAGTATTTCACAGAATTTCAATTGCAATCCAGAGGTATCTGTCTCTAAAGATCATGTTCTTCCCAGACCCTCTTACCTTCTATTGTGTATCAGTAGTATTGCTGCGTTTTGTGACAAGTTCACAGAAAGGCTCTGTTTTTAAAAATTCACTATTTGAAAAGCTAAATCTGCACAACAGATTAATTGAGAAGTGACTGTCTATATCACAATAGTTTAGTTCACTTTCAAATGGATTCAAACGAGGATCTTTTAAAAGGCAAAGTGTCCTGGTGCTTTAAAAATATGACTGCATTTACATAAACTTTAGAGGAATAAATCTGTTATGTAAATCGAGGAATGCAAGCAATCTAAGACCTCTGACATTCCCTTTTCAAAGAGCATTGTGGACAACCTGTCTAACCTGCCATCCTCAATTTGCAGGTACAAAGGAATTATACCATCATCTCTGCTCCCTAGAAGCTTAGAAAAATCCTGGTGCTCTAGGTAGGGCAAGTACACTCTCAACATTTACCATTAAATCCTTAAGTCTCATATTGGGAGACACACGGGCCATCAGTTTTCACTCACCCAAACAGAGAAGCAAAAGAATTTCTGTCATGTCATGTTTTTACATCTTCCCCTATCCGCTTTTGTTCTCCCTAAAAAGTGTCTCTAAAAAATAAGCTTTCATAAATTGAGCTTTTTGGAGGGGACCCACGAAGGCCACATGAATCGCAAAACACGTTAAACACATCAGCTTCAACTTTCTAGCCATTAAAGATCAAATGACAAAAATCCATTCAATCAACAATCAAGGTTACTGCTGAGAGGAGCCAAGATATTAAATACTATTCAAAGAGAGTGTGATGCGGCTGAATTAGACATCAGAAGTGCCTAGGTTCCAGGCCAGGCATAAAACATCCCCCTCCTCTATGGCTCTGGGCAAGGCATTTAACAACCAACTTCAGTTTCTTCCCACCTATAAAACAGATAATCATCACCTTCTTCTGAGATGTGTATAAATTAATTATTTGAGGTTTGGAAAGAGTTGGGAAGGCAAAATGATATTCATAAATACTAAATATTAGCTGATGTTCTTTTGAATTTTATGGCTTTATTTTGGCATTATATATCGAATTACAAAAACTGAGAAGCAGGAAATCTGACCACCATGTATCTGATTATTCTTTCTTAAATTACATAAGGTCTAACCTCAGCGATTAAAAACAGTTCCAAAGGACTCATAAGTCATCATAAATTATTAACAGGAAATATTATTGCAAGGCATCTTAATATCCTATAACATAGCCTAATATTTTCATTAGTTATGTTTCACAAACACTCTCAGGGGTGGTATAGTAGATCTGTCACCATCATACCACTTAGGAAACAGGCGAAGTCTGAACACATGCCTTGCACAGGAAGCCTCCCATAATTAGAAGTCATGGCTTCTAAATTACCAATCTCTCCTATGAATCATATCTTCCATACAAAAGAAAGTGTCCAAATGTGCATTCATGGGCATCTATGTTTATGGTGTATGGTTTTAAAGATTCTGCAAATGTCAGAAACAGTTTTAGCTCATAAAGATAAAGTGACATAAGCTCCAAAGTTCTCTCCTGATGCTTTGAAGTTAGGCTATGTATATACTAGAAAGTGTCTTTTGAAAAAATACTTTTTATCATAAGAGACTTTATTGATCCATATCACTATTTAAATTTCTAAGAGGTGATTTGTTATCTCTGTCCAGAGCTAAGCAAAGGCCAGCCGATTAAGAGCCCTGAATGCTGTGCTGGGGAGTCTGGACCTTATTCTAACAACTAAGGAGGGCCTGGGATGGGAGGAAAAGAGGCAGTTATGTGAAATGCTCAGGTTTACATTTGGGAAAACTCATTCTGACGTCATGAGGAAAGACAGTCTGGATAAAGGTAATACCATGTGCAGGGAGATAGATTAGAGGAGCAGAGCAATTGTGAAGGGTTATGTTGAGTTGAATTAAGAAGGAAGCAGTGAAGATAGAGCTGGAAAAACGAATCTAAGAGATATTAAGTAGATAAAATCAGTGGACTACAAGGAGACCAGAGGGGATAGGAAACAGAGCTCAGGAGTAGGGATTGACCTTACATACAAGGAGGAATATCTTTTCTTTTCTTTTTGAGACAGGGTTTCACTCTGTTACCCAGGCTGGAGTGCAGTGGCACAATCTTGGCTCACTGCAACCTCCACCTCACGAATTTAAGTGATTCTTGTACCTCAGCCTCCGGAGTAGCTGGGGTACAGGCGTGAGCCACCATGCCTGGCCTAGCTTTTTAATCATGATAGGAAAAAAGGAGCACAAATATTTGTTGAAAGAATGAAAAAGGAGCATGCCAAAGCCATCAGTGGTCAGTAGAAAGTGAGAGAAGAGTGATCAGAAGACAGAGGTCAGTACAAAACAGTGATGGGTAGAGATGACCTCAGAGGAATGGAACTTTTCATAAGTGTGTAAGGACAAGTGGGAAGTGAACATAAACCTGGGCAAGTAGCCTGCACTGGAGAGGCCCCCAGCAGAAGGAAGCCTGGGGAGCAGCCAGGTTTGAGTTAAAGCAGGAAACAGAGGGAATGCTCTGCAAACCTGGGGATGCATTTGCCATAGAACAAAGTGTTGCTCTGCTAATGCTGCAGCTCCTATCAAAATGACTCTGAAGTCTAATTCTGATCTCACATGTTCACTTTTAGTTTTTCCTTCCAAGAAAGTGTCATCTATAAAGTAAATGAGCAAGGTTTTCTAGTTGTTCTCACCAAACGACATATTAAAATACCTGGCCAGGCTACTCTTAACCCACGGGTGGCAGCCTGAGTTCCAAGACCTGTATGCTCTGGGATACGGAGTCCGCATGCACTGATCACTAGGCATGATGAGTAGTCTCAAAAGTCTTATAAAGTCATGCAAAATACAACAAATTTCAGAGATAAGGGTGTGCACAAGCGCACTTACATGCACACACAAGGAATGGTGTTATTCAGGTCAGAAATAAAACAAGAACATGTTTTTAAAGACTAAGAAAATACTAACTATAGGCCCCGGGACACTCTTAAATGCTTTTCATTTGAAGTATAAATTTAGATCAATAATATATCATCTTCTTAGGAAAATGTTGTAATGTAGCATACACAAAGTGAACAT